CCACGGCCCCCCCTCCCGGGCGTCGGAGGACAGCCAGGCCCAGCCACGCCGACCGGGCACCACGGAGAAGCCGGCGAGCCCAGAAACCTGTGTCCCCGTTCTCACTCTGCAAGGGAAATTCCCAGTCGGTGATGCCCACCTCGCCCGGCCTGGGGCTGGGGCCCAGGGAGTCAAGTGACAGCCAAAAGGGGGCTGGAGCCGGCTGGAATGTGGGGCTGGAGCCGAGATTCTTAGGGGCCAGGAAGGGAAATCCCAGCCGTCCAGGGGCCAAGAGCGGCGCCAGAATCAACGGCCTGCTGGGCCATCCACGGCGCCCAGAACCGTCTTCCCACGGCCTGCCAACCCAGATGCCCCTGCGGCTTCCAGCACCCCAGTCCTTCCGCCCCTGCCGGTGCGCCCAGCCTGGGCGGCCCTGCCCTTCAGATCATGGCCCTGCTGCCCAGGAAGGAGAATGTGAAGCAGCTGAGAAAATGAGAGGAGAGGAGTAAGGAGACAATGGAGACGCGGGTGCGCACACACACACACACACACACACACGCGCGCGCGCGCGCACAGCCACAGCCCCCTCCTCAGCACAGCAGCTGCCTCCAGGGGACAGCCTGGGTCATTAGCTGGGGGGACAGACGAGGGGTGGGAGAGGCCCCCGGGATGAGTCATACCTCAGTGCCACTGAGTACAAAGGGGAAACTGAGGCCTGGAGTGTGAGAGCACACTGCTCTGAGAGAAAGGTAGACACACTCAGCTCTGGGTAGTCTGGGGAGGCAGAAAGAAGAGGCAGGGTCCAAAGGGACACTGGGGGTCTGATGGGGACGACGGTGAGGGAGCTTCAAGACAGAGGAGGCTGAGGCTGGGACACTGGGGGTCAGAGAAGGGGGAAAGGAGCACACAGCAAGAGGTGGGCAGGCCCAGGCCTCAGGAGATGCCTGGACGGGAGGGAAGGGGCTGGGTGGAGGGCAGGAACCTGATGAACACAGAAGCAAAAGGTGAAAGGACAAAGGGAGAGAAGAGGCCGGGTGAAGCAGATGGGGGCACAGAGCTTGCGCTGAGGCACACAGGACTGGGCAGAGGTGGAGCCTCAGAAGGAAGGGATGAGCGGCCAGGACTGGACCACCCCGTCCCGCCCCAGGGTTGCTGCACATGGCCCCCAGTCCCTCCCCCAGAGAGAGGGCGGCACAGCTCCTCCAGTGGCCTCTCTCACCTCCAGCTCAGGATTTTTCTGGGTCCCAGTCCCCCGGTCTCAGGCCTTTGGGGTCCAGGCTCTGGAGCTGCTGAGGCTGCCTGGCTTTGTCCAAGCGTCCAGGGCCGTGGCCCAGGAGCAGCTGCCCTGGCCAGCTGGGGCCGGCTTCGATGTGACCATGGCAACCCAGCCCGCTCCCCTCTCCCCTCGCTGAGCCTCTCGGCCCCCGCAGAGAGGGAGGGGACAGCCAGGCAGGAGAAAAGGAGAGGAGCTGAGAACTGCAAGGCTGAACCAAAGGGAGACCCCAGACAAAGAAACCCCAAACAAAGGGAGGCAGAGCGGCCCAAGCAGCGCTGGGAAGCTGTCGCTGAGGCAGGCAGCGTTTGGCCTCAAAGACGCGACCTGGAGGGCAGCAGAAGCGGGGTGGGGGACAGAGTGGGAGAAGAGAGATCAGAATGGCCACGGTGTCCTTGGCCTCCTTCCGGGTCCCTGACAATGCCCTTCCTTCTCCCGGGGTTTTGCTTTGCATCCTGGGAGAAGCAGAAGCTCTAGCCGGCCACCCTGGAGTATTCCACAGGGACGGCTTCCTCTGATTGCAGCAAGGGCCACAGGAAGCACCTGGGGCCAAAAGGCACCCTCCTTCTCCAGGATCCCGATTTCAAGCATGCGCTGAGTTGTCACCCGGTAACAAGTGGCGCTGTCAAATGATGTGCTCCAATTCTCAGTCGGGAAACTCTGACCCCTGAAGCCCAACAAAGGTGACCGGGCTGGGGAGGGTTGGGCCAGGGGACGGAGTAGGCACAGGAGAGGAAGCCAGGCACCAAATGCTGAGGGAGAAGCCTGACCGGGTGACTCCTCTGCCACCCACTTCCCTCGAGCACCAGAAATCTGGGTGGTAATGAGGTGGCGCCTGTCAGGTGCAGGCCTCACTGGATGAAGCAGCCACAGAACTCCCCTGACTGCAGCTCCCTCTGGCTTTCAGATGCGTCGCTTGGCTCTGAGCCCCCTCCTAACCTACTCTGCCAGCCGCTACTATCACAAGCCTGTGAGGGTCAGGCTGCGGCCACCAGAGCTCTCAGAGCTCCCTGAGGCAGGCACACCTGCCCTTCAGCACCCACTGCCTCCTCCAGGGCAGGACAGGCTTCGGGGATGGAGCGGAAGGGCTGTGGAGCCAGGTGCTCCTGCATGGGCAGGAGGGGAGCCCACGGAGTCAAAGGAGGGCATCCGGAGGAGCCACGTCTGACCGGCCTTATCAGGGTAAGATCTGCAGGCCAAGCCAGGCAGGAGGCGCAGCAGGGGCTGTGAGAACCAGCTGGGGCTGGAAGCAGGGTGAGCAGGGGAGCAAGGCCAAAAAGGCCAACTTGGGCCCTCACATGAGCAGCATGGCCTGGTCCAAGAGTGAGGAGGGCGTGACAGGATCAGATCTCTCTTCTCCAGAGTGGTTCCGGCAGGGTAGTGGTTGCAGAAGGAGTCGAGCCTGTGGTGTCCTGCTGTGTCCCTGGCCCAACCCCAGGGCAGGGTGAGTTCAGGCCTGCGCCATGGGGTGGGGGGGTCTCCCTGTCCTCTGAGGTGGAAGAGATCCAGGCCCGGAGGGGCCGGGACTTGCCTAGGTCTGCTTCTGTTAGACTCCTTCACTTCCTTTTGTGAAAGGAGTGAGGCCCGCGGCCCAGGAAACCTCGCGTTCAGTAAGCTTTACAGTTCCTTCCATGAACAAGGAGGCCACTGGGAGGCGCCCGCTGCAAGGTGACCCCTGCCACCTACTGGGAAAGGACTGGGAAAGCCTCTAGGTAGGTCTGGCTGTGTGGCCTGGGCTGGCCAGCCTCCTCCCTGGCCGCCTGGTACTGGGCTCACAGGCATGCACACCGGGCCCAGCTGAGCAAGACTGAATGCAGCAAGGTGTCCAGGGACGGTTAGGGTGCAGTGTCACCTTGTTCTGTAGCAGGGGTTTCCCCACGGAGGGCAGGACCAGCTCTCCTGCAGGCTCTCCCATCGCTACAGAACCCTTGGCACGCTCCCTGGCCCTCTAGGGGCTGAGCAGCTGGCCCAGCTCTGCCCCCAGCACCCTGCAGACTCCTCTTCTTCAGCCCCTCTGTGAGCTGCACTGTGGAGCCAGAGCTGGATTGAGACCCGAGTCTCCTGCATGCACCGTACCCTTGGACCGCAGCCTCAGGACCTCGGCACCTCGACCACTGTCAGCGGTCTCTGCAAGTCCTTACTCCTCAGAGTCCTTGAAGGTTTTGGGATGAGGTCTCTGACTCTTCTACCTTTTTCCATCTCCCAAGAGTACTACTACTCAACTCATTTTTGTTGGTGTACAGGGAAGTATCAAGATCCAAAACTGGCAAATGAAAGCCAGGCGTGGTGGTACACGCTTGTAATCCCAGCACTCAGGAGGCTGAAGCAGGAGGATCACTGGAATTCAAGGCCAGGCTGGACTCATAGCAAGACCATGTCCCACAAAACAGTCACCAGGCGTGATAGCATGTGCCTGTAATCCCAGCACTTGGGAGGCTGAGGCAGGAGGACCACTACCAGTTTGAGGCCAGCCTGGGGTACGTCATGAGCTCAAGGCCAGTCTGAGCTACAGAGTGAGACCCTGTCTCAAAAAAAGAAAAAAAAACGCAAATGGTTTACTTAAACCACTTTGTAAGTCAAATCAGTGCTGATACACATGTTTCTCAAACCAAGGTTTCTGAACTCCCGGGGAACAACGAATACCCCATGAGAATTATTCAACTCCTGCTTTCATTTCCTTGGTAATTTTGAAAGAAGCACTTGATCACAGGTAACTGTCCCGGGCCTGCTGGGGCGGGCCTGACTCGTGCTTGTTTATCCATTACCACTTCCATTGTCTGAGTTTTGCCAGTGCCCTTGCGGGCCAGAGGCAAGCACTAACATGTTCCGCAGCGCTGCGGACGGACAGAGAGAGGGAAGAGCTGAGTCACCCAGCACCAGCACAGTGAGAGGCAGTGCCAGCTCCCAGGAGCTGCCTCCACCAGCGCAGCAACTTCCTTTCAGAAAAACAACACTTTAATTTAAGGTCAATTTTGAAATTACCTTTCCACTTTTGTTTGTTTGCATTGCTACTTTGTTTTGGGTTTGTAATGTCTTAAATACTGAAGCAGAAGGAATTCCTGGTTAGCTGTGCCTGCATGCAGTTTGCATAGGATCAAATTGTGTTGTCCGGGAAAGAAGACCCCGCCGGAAAATCGCCAGTCTGGAAGCCTAGAGCTCAGACGTGCCAGCCCCCATCCACCTGTCCTGGCCTTAGCTGCCTAGCAGAGTAGCCACGGAGCCCAAGACAGGTGCAGTGTCACCTGTGGGACCCTGGCCAGTGCCATGGCAACCACCAGTAGAGTTTATTTTCCACGTAGGTCTTATCTTCAGGAAAGCAAGGAATTATAGAAGTAGCTTAAGTCCATGAAAATTGCTTTCCTCCCAAAATGTTCATCCTCACAGTGGGACTAAACTAAAAGTTCAGGAGTCTCCAAGAAAACCTGCCATAAATAAAAACCCAGCACGAATCAGGCATTCACAAGCAGGTCCACAAACAGTCACATATGATACAAACGTGCATCCAGCACTTCCCACAGATCCTCCCCCACCTCAAGGCCAAGGGTGGGGAAGTTAGAATTTGGGGCTCCTGGGCTTTTGAGAGCAGGGGAGGGGAGGGTGCCTCCCAAGTGAGGGGTCACAAGGCGGGCATGAGGAAGCACTACCGGGCACAGTCGAGATCCAAGTGGGACTGCTTAGACTGTTTCCCTGAGAAATACGCACAATGTTTTAAAAGGAAATGGCTTTAAGCAGAAGAAGAAGAAAAAAAAAAAAAGATCTAGGTCAGTTTCTCAGAATGCTGTGGCTGCATCAGACGCTTAAACACAAACCCTGGGAGGCTCTGGGTTAATTCATTGGCTTGGTGATGTCCTCGAGGCCATGGCTTCTTTCCACCTTCTGTCCCCAAGCACCAAGGGCCTCCACACCTCACAGCCCCAGCCCAGGTCCAGCCTTCACAGAACAGCAAGGGAAGCCCTGGGCGGCCTGGACCAATCCTGACAACAACCCTGTGCCCACAAAGGGATCTCCATCCCTGAGCGTACAGAAGGGCAGCCCCGAAATGATAAATAAACGCCATGAAACCCTTGCAGCCAGGAAGCAGGGAATGGCTGTTTGTGGGCTCTAAAAGCATCTTCTGGGAAAAGCTTCCGGAACATCGGACACGCTTTTGCAAGGGAACTGTCTGCCAGGCTGAAGGGGTTGGCTTTTCTCCAGTGAGTTCTGGGAAGCCTTTTTAAAATAAAGAAAATTGAGCCTGGGCACAGTGAGATGATGGTGGTAAGTAACGAGATTAGAGGCACAGGTGGCAGGAAGGGGCTGTTATGTGTCTCTCCTTGGACGTTCAGGGAGCCCTGCTCTCCCACCGTGTGCGTGCAGGAGCAGTTTGCGCTGGCAGGTGGATGGCGGGGCTTCCTGAGGGCGCAGGCTCAAGGCAGGAGGCAGAGAGGTCCAGCACACGGATCCACTCACAGGGGTGAGTCTGCCGTGCCGACCCCACATCACCAGGCCCCACTCAGGCCCCATGGCTCCTACTACCCAGTTTACCTAGAAAATACTCACCAGGGTGCGGAGGGGTCCCAAGGTCCCCTGCACCTCTCAACTGGACTGCGGGGAAACCACTGGCAAGGACCTCATCAGAACCTGTCCCCGCCTCCGGTGAGTGATGTGCTGAGGTGGCCCACAGTCACCTCCTAATCTGCAGGGAACCAGCGCACAGCTGTGAGATTGTCTGCGGAGGCCCCAGGTCCCGCGTGGCTCTGGAGCGCGTCAGGAAGCCACCTGCCCGGGCCCATAGCAGGCCAGGTGCAGTCTGTTAGCACCATCCCGACGTGTTCTCCAGGAGGAACCCACCACAGCCTGTCCCCCATGGTCTGAGGACCAGAGGCAGAGGGAAGGGAGGGCATTAGCCTGTGGTGATCTAGTGGGATCTGCCGTTTAATTCACTAAATTGACTCTGTGACATCAGTTCCAGAATTCTGTATTTACAAACAGCATGAAGGGGATTTAGCTCAGTTGTGCCTCCATCTGCCTCGCAAGTACAAGATCCTGAGTTGGATCCCCGATACCAAAAAAAAAAAAAAGAGCATGAAGCTATTCAGGTTGAAGGAATCTCTCACACGGTCCCGTGAACAGGGTCTTCTTAAAGTTTTCATGCTGGGTTTTTCAGATTGGCAGACACAGAGCAGAGGGAGGAACCCAAAGGACCCATGTTCGGAATCAATCAGAATCAATCAGAAGGGAAGCAAATGAAAGAGGAATCTGAAGTTTCTGTTCTTTTGTTTTTATTATTGTTGCTTTTGTTTCTTTGTTTTTTATTTTTTTTAAGATGGGGTCTTGCTACACAATTCTAGATGGCCTTGAATTTGCCACGTAACGCAGTCTGGCTCCAAACTTGTGGCGATCCTCCTGCCTCAGCCTCCTGAGTGCTGGGATTACAGGCGTGCTGCACCACACCCAGCCTTGAAGTTTTAAGTGGTAAGAAATGGAATAATGATTTCCAAGACGAGTCCTGGCCAGGAGGCTGCAGTTCTGGCTGGAGCTCAGTCTGGACACTGCTAGTCCAAGTGGGAGCCTTGGGTGGCACCTCTGGGGTATGGTGCCTTGTCTTCAGCCCTGGGCGTGTCTGGACACAGAGCTGGTCTGGGGTGCAGGGGGAGACTGAGGACAGAATGAGAGGCAGGTGGGGCCCGGCCATACTGTTCCAGGACGCTCCTGAAGATGTACCCGGCCCACAGCCCCAAAGGCTTTACGTGCCACTTGGAAGTTGGGGAGACTTCGGAGCGGGAAATCCCAAGGAAGGTTGGTACTCAAGGTTTCAGGGTCCAAATCCGAGCAGAGGCCTTGCAATGAGCCAGCCAGTCGCCCTGCTGCGGCCCCACGGCAGGGCCTTTGATCTCTGCTCGGGGCCAGCGGACCGGTCCCTACAGGACCTCCTCCGGCTCCTCACCGCACTTCCTCCCTCGGCTTCCCACCCAGCCCCGCCCCAGCCAGTCCTCCTCCAGAGCCTTCTCAGAGGCCCAGCTCCCCCGGGTCCTGCACCGAGCAGCCCAGGACCGGCAAAGCGCGGGTCCCCGCTGTATTTGTGAGGTCGCTGTGGGGCCTGGCCAGCCTCTCCACTACGCATTCCTGCCACTGGGGACGCTGTGGGGTGGGAGGAAGAGCTGTCCCCGACGCGGTTTCAGACTGACCGTCCCTGGGTGTCAGGCACAGCCGTCCAGCTCAGCGGGGGTTCATGCCGCACACAGCGCTGCGTTGGCCTGAGCTGCAGGCCCAGCAGGAGGCGGTCTGTCAGGGTCCGTTTGCTTGAGAACTGACAGGCTTTAGAGAAAACTCACCCAAGCAGAAGCAGCAGCCAGGCATGATGAACTTGACCCAGTAAGAAAGTCTCGGACGTCAAACCCTGAGTGCTTTCTTTGTTTGTGTGTTTTCGGTCTTTTCCAGACTACAAACTCTGTGGATGCGGAGACTGGGCTTATCTTGTGCACCTGCAGCGAGTGTGGAAAAAGAATGCAGGAAACATTTGTCGAGTGAAACGGGTGAGTGGACATTGCTCGTCACCACGTCTAATCCGGGCCCTCCGGTCCCCAGCAGAGAGCCCGGTGCCCACAGGGACGCCGCAGCTCTGCAGGACCGGAGCACGCGGGGGTCTGGGTGCCCTGTCGTGAAGCAGAACACGGGAGAGGGACAGGCCCTGCCCACCTGCGCTCAGGCCCCACTCTCCTGACAGTGCAGACCGGGACCCCGAAGAGCCCCAGGATAGGGCGAGGCCCGGCTGTGTGTGGCCTTGGTCAGAGTGGAGCAGAAGTCCAGACAGCGAGGGAACGTGACGTGGCTCAGTGACTCGGGGTGTCCGTGTCCCTGTGCAGCCCCAGAAGACACGGGTTAGGCACTGGGCTTGGCATCTGGAAAGCAAACAGTGGCTCTCACGCAAGATAAAGAGCGCTCGAAAATCAGCCTCAGCCAGAGGCAGTGCAGTGCGCGTTTGCAACCCCAGCTGCTTGGAGACTGAGATGGGAGGAAAGCCGGAGGCCAGCCTGGGCAGCTCAGTGCAAGCCTGTCATGAACGAATGAATGAACACAAATCTGAAAAGCCTGGAGCTGCACCTCAGCACGAGGCCCTGTGTTGATCCCCCAGTACCACAAAAGGTAAATGAATAAAGAAATGTGTGAACGTTTTCCTGAATAGAAGAGAGGGGACACCTAGGGGAGAAGCCAGAGTCTCCAGGCACTCCCGAGCCTGAGAGTAACCCCAGAGTGACACCATGAGGGCTGGGTGCAGCTCAGGGACAGGGTGTGTGCTCAGCGTGCACAAGGACCTGAGTTCAATTCCCCATTAAAAAAAAAGATGCAACCGCATCCCGGAGTATTGAGAGGGAAGCCACCAGCCTCCTGAGGGAATCTAAGTCAGGTGTCTCCCTCCCTTCCAGCCCAGGGAAGGGGCCTTCCATGGGACCCCTCAGCGTTCAGTGTGCGTTCCCTGCATCTGGAGGACGGGGTGCACTGCGCTGGTGGCCGGATCACGTCTGGGAAGAAGAGGCAGCGGGAAGCTGGCTCACTGCCCTGGAGGTGGAACAAGGGAGATTGCGCGGGCCAGGGCCTGCCAGCCTTCCAAGCCCGCGGGGAGGTCTACGGACGAGACATGGGGCTGGTGCTGCAGAGCTACACAGGATTATATTAGATTCTGCCCCAAAGGGTCGCCCAAATGCCTTCAGTGATCCCAAAAGAAAGATCTTAGAAGCCACAGGAGGACTTTTGGCCGAGTAGGCTAGGGAACAGCTTCATCTGCATCGGGGGTCAGGAGATGAGCAATGCCGGAAAGAGAGAGTGTTATCTTTTAGAAAAATCGATGAAAGTGCCAAATAGAGAGGAAGTCAGCTATGCCCACCAACATAGGGAGAGCTGATGCCACCTCACAGTACCTCTAGCCAGAGAAACCCTCCTCTGGGGTCTGAGTCACTTTCCTCACAACTAAGACACAATACTTGTCACCCCCCACTTAGAAGAGGGGAGCTTTACTTTGGCTCAGGGCCTCAGAAGTTTCAGTCCGTGGTTAGCCAGCTGCAATGCAGAAACAGCATGGTGGAAGGGTCTGGGCAGAGGAGAGCTGCTCACATCGTGGCAGCAGGAAACAGAACAAAGGGAGAAGCCAGGGAGGGAAATACACTCTTTCAGATCAGCAGCCCCCTCTAAGCAGGCCTCACCTCCCAACAGCACACTCAGCTGCATAACTCACTAGTAGATGAGCCCACTGCTGAGCACCTCATCCCTGTGATGCCATCACCTTCCCAAAGCCCCACCTCTGAGAACACAAGAATTTGGGAAACGTTCTCCACCTAAACCACAGCACCCGCCTCTCCCTCACATACTCCATCCCCGGAGAGGTCCAAGGTCCAAGGTAGCAAGACGACAGAGGAAGGTGATCAGATTACCTCTGAAATGTCATCAAACCTGCTCCAAATTTGAGGGGTGAAAGAGAACAAACGCCGCATAATGGATTTAAAGATTAACAGAGAGAAATGCAAATAGAGTTGCTTCCTTATCCCACCTTCCATCGGTTAGGTTAGACTAAGCAGTGATAACGAAAAGACTGAACTTTCACAAAGGCTGGTTAGAACTCTCCGCACAGAGAATGTGTGTGCCCAAGACCGGTTTCCTTGTCCGTGACTCAGCCCTGGCCCTCAGACCTGTCTCTTCTTGTTGCAGCCTCAGCCGGCACCTGGACCTGGGGCTCTGGGCTGCTCCTTGGGAAGGAATTTGCAGGGCTCTGCCACTCTGCCCCTTGGCTATTTAGTTAAAAATCCGAAGAGGGCAGGGAATTTAGCTCAGTGATTCTGCCGCCTGCCTCACAAGCGCAAAGTCCTGAGTTTGATCCCCAGTACAAAAAAAATGAAGAAGAAATGTTTATTGAAGAGCAATTGACACACAGCAAGGGACTGGGGAATTTAGCTCAGTGGTTCCATCACCTGCCTTGCAAGTGCAAGGACCCGGGTTCAATCCCTGGTACCCAAAAAACAAACCAAGACATGCAGCAAACCCACGCAGATTTAAAGTGTGCACTTGCACAAGTTTTGTCCTGGGGACACCAACACCATATTTGAGGTAATGAACGTGCCCACCCTCCCGAGCGCCGTCTCAAGTCCTGCCTAATTCCTGACCCTCCCCAGCCCCATTTCCAAGCAACCACTGATCTGCTTTCTGTCTCTATAGATTAGTTTGCATTTTCTAGAGTTTCATATAAATGAAGCCATACAGTGTACTGTCCTTCTTGGTCTGGCTTCTTTCATCCCAACTGTCAGCTTTCCGAGGGAGACAGTTCAGCTCAGAACCCAGCCAAGAGTCATGCTGCTGGCTGTACAGAAATTGGACACCACACATCTTGCAGGCTGGAGAACTTTCCTACCAGCGTGCCAACTACTTTCTGGTTAATGGATCTTTCTTAATCCAAAACAAGAAAATTTGCACTCTTAATTTTTCGCCAAAATGTCTAAACTTGGATGTTAGCCCTCTTTTACTTCCCCCCACCAAATTCAGTTAAGGAAAATAAAGAGAGGAATCCTGAAAAATACACAGCGAGTGCATCGCTCCAACTCTGGGGAGTATGCAATTTCAGACACTCGTAGCACCGTGAATTTTTGTTTGTTTGCTTGGGTTTTTTTTTTTTTTTTTTTTTGTTTTCTTGTGTTTTTTTTTTTTTTTTTTTTGGTACCAGGGATTGAACTAGCACCATGAATTTTGACTAGATTATTTTAGACCTTGATAGAATCTCTTAGAATGAATTGTGCTTTGGCATTGCACTCTCATCTTAGGGAGACTTAATTAGAATCGGATATAGTGCTGGAGAATTTATGGATGAAATGGTACATCTGGAATTTGTTTTAAAAAATAGCCAGAAAAAATGTGAGAGGGGGAACCAGGGATTCAGCTCAGTGGTTTCGCAGATTGCCTTGAAAGTGCAAGGCCTGAGTTCCATCCCCGGTACCAAAAAAAAAAAAAGTGAGGGGTAGATTAAAGTATTCCAGCCACTCTCTGGCTGTCCCTACAGCTTGCGACTGTAGTGTTCGTTATAATCTTCTCGTGGCTATTGTGTATGTTTGAAAATTACTATCATAAGCAGTTCTTTCAAGCACAAGTGAGAAAGTCCCCTATTGTCTTCTTTGTAGGGATATTGCTTAAGACATTGTTTATTCATCATTTTCAAGCAAATATGCTTTAGGTGAGAAATTAAGGGTAATTTTCAGGCTTAAGTAAAATAATAACTTGCCTCGATCCAACTTGGTTCAGAGTAAGCTCTTAATATGCGATGCTTATTTATTATATTATGATTTCATCAGAATTGATTTGTGGGTATCAGCAGCCAGACCTACCTGAATCTTGGATGTTTCCTTTGATGTTGGACAAAAAGCAAAGTGAAAATGTCTTTCTTCTGAGAAGTTTGTTGTAGGTGGTTTTCTGGGAGCTGAGTGGACTTAGGAGGTTAATTTAGTATGAAAGATTAAATGATAATACACCATGACCAAGAGTACAAAGATAGTTTAATATTTTCCAAATATATCATGAATACGGGCCAAAGGAAATAAAACATATGGAAAATTGATAAAAATTGGACAATCAGCCCTGTATGTATTTTATTTTTTTAAAATTTTTTTTTTTTTTTTTTTTTTTTTGGTACTAGGGATCAAACTTGGGACCTTGCACTTGTAAGGCAGGCAGCAGCACCACTGAGCTAAATCCCAGGCCCTTTAATAGAATTCTTAGAACCTGGGAGTAAAAAGGTACTTTCTTACGCTAGAAGTTATTTATTTCAAATAAACACCTAAAGTAATATTTCCTGAAGTATTCCTAGTATATGGAGAGCGAGGCCAATTCCCTGTAGAATGACTATCACTGTCCCATTTCCTGATAGTCACGTACAAAACAAAAAAATGTAAGATTAACGAGCTGAATATATCTAAATATATACTAGAAAGGAGGAGGAGATCGCATTATTCTTTGGTTTTGGCTTGGTTGGGTTTTTGTTAGGGTTGCTTTTTGAGACTGGGTCTCGTTATGTAGCCCTAACCCTCCTGCCTCAGTTTCCCCATGTGCTGGGACTGCAGGTGTGTGCTACCATGCCCTGCTGAGAGCAGTCCATTTTCATTGTCCACTTTTATCATCCTCCTAGAAAGTCAAAGAATATCAACTCAAAACTTTTAATTTCAGAAATGTGTAGTTACACACAACGCACACACGTGCACACACACACACACTCACACACGAGCAACAGATTTTCCCTTTATCAGCAACAGCCCCCGGAAAATATAACATTTCCATTCACAGTGTCTATACATCAAATACTCTAAGGAAACAGTCACATCTGAGAGAAGAAGGGTGATAATAAGCCTTATTACAAATACCTCGGGTTCTTGAATGTGAATCCTTACTATTATGAATTGATCAACTTTCTACAACGTACCTATGAATGCAATGTAATTCCAATAATAATAGAATTGTAGTGTAATAAGTTTTAAAGAGATTTTGAAAAATAAGAATAAGGAAGAGATATGAGACCTGCTAGATGTTCAAATTGATCACTAAAATCAAGGGCTGCTGGTGCAAGAAGAGCAGTATCACCAGGTGTGGTGGCGCACGCCTGTAATTCCAGCACTCTAGAGGCTGAGGCAGGAGAATCGCTGCAAGTTCAAGGCCAGCCTGAGCTACATGATGACAGCCTGTCTCAAAAACACAAAATAAAAGTTAAAAAAAGAAGAGCGGTATCAGTGCTTGGGGAATACAAAGCCACCAAGTAAAATGTAAGAATTTGGCAGAAGATAAACACTGCATTTCAAACCAGTGGGGAAAAGAATGCTTCGGTACACAAATGGCATTAGTTCGGTTAGCTAGCTATTTGAAAAACAGTGAGTAGAACGATGTCTGTACTCAGAATCAGCTCCATATGACTAGAAATGTGAAGGAATGTACACGCAGGAAATGAAAACTATTTGCCTACTGCCTTGACCTTTGGACTTGTTACATCCCTGAGAAAGCAAACAGTAAGGAAACTGCGATAGCTCTTCTGTTTGCCTCTTGATATATTCATCAACCTCTCTCAAATATGTGAATGTCAATTCCCTTCCAGAATCCTGGGCCTCATCACCTTCATTTTTCAGTTTCTGCAATAACTGGGAGTTTGGATCCTATAATTCCTTAGCGAGAAGAGGTTGGTTTTGTCTAATTTCTCTCCTAGTACATGTTAGCCAGCTTTCTGTTATTGTGACAGAATAGCCCACGTAATCGTCTTAAAAGGAGGAAAGGGTTATCTTGGCTCACTGCTTCAGAGGATTCAGTCCCTGGTTTCTTGGCTCTGTTGCTTCGGGCCTGTGCTGATGATTTAGGAGAAACATAATCCCACCCGTTAGATGTCAAGTGTGCCGAGTTCACGGTCTCAGGACCTCAGGGATCAAAGTCACAAACTAACGGGAGAAGTTCGGAGAGTTTTATTGGAAATAAAGACAGGAATCGCTGCTGGTTGTCCAGGAGGGGTCCTGAGTGAGAGGCACCGAGGTCCTTTGTCAGGGCGATTCATACAGCAAAGTCACAAGGTGTGCACGCTGGAGACCACGGTCCACCTACGGGATCACAGCAGCAGGTGCTGAGTCAATGCTGAGCCCCAGGGAGTGCAAGGGTGCATGGGAAGAACAGGCACTTGGGGAAGGGATGGGTGCGGGTGCCCGGTCACCTCCTGAGTGTCTGGTGCCTGTCTGGACTTCCTGGATCCGGCGGTGCTGATTACAGTAGAACCTCAAGCTGCTGCTTTATCCCCGAGGGAAGCCTAGGAGCCTGGCATCGCGTCTCCATCTTGCGCCTCGGGCCGCAATCTTGACATCTTTATCCCTGAGGCCCAGTCTCTCTCGTGGATTAATTTGTGTCTGACTCAGTGGTCTACAGTGCTGACACAGTACACCACCGCAGAGCAGTACAGGGAGCCCTCTGCTCACCTGTGGTACAAGCAGCGTGTGAGAGCGGATGGGCCGGGGTCCCTGTGTCCCTCCAACGGCACAGCCACCGTGACCCACCTCGCTTTCGCTGGGCCCCACCTCAAAGGTAAGAGCCCCGTGCCTTGCCGGGACCCTGGTGAGCACTGCAGCCCGACCGCAGCCCTTATGTCCCCTGCACACTGCTGTGTGACCCCCTTAAGGCTCTTGGAATGCGCGTTTCGAGACAGGCCAACCTCCTCACCTCTTCTACTGCATAGCGTTGTATCTGCACATCCCTGCTGTGCAGGATAACAGTTTAACTGCCCTTCGTCCCGGGTACCTCGGGGAAGGGAACTTCCTTGGAATTTTTGTTTTCTTTCTTTCTTTTTTTTTCCTTCTGGTGGGAGGACGGGGTCTCACTGTGTAGCCCACGTTGGCGTCTCACATTTGTGGCGATCCTCCTGCCTCAGTCCCTCAGGAGATGGGATTGCAGGAAGTTCTGGAATAAGAGAGGTCTTTGCTGTACTCAGCAGCCACTTGGATCACACACGGGTTTGTGCTGAGGGAACACTCAGTGGGCCTGGTCACCAAGGAGATCGGCAGGGGCCTCTGAGCCAAGCGCATCCCTTGCAGGCAGGGACTGGGGACTGAGTTCAGTGCAGGGCAGACAGGCCGGCCCAGCCATGCGCACGCCAGCTTCCTGGTGGAGCTCCCTGGCTGGTGAGCCTGGCACTGTGCCGGGAGGTGACGCAGCAAGGGCAGAGGCCCGGCGTGTGGGAGCCTCCTGGAGCCCGTCCTGCGTGTCCGTGGGCGGTCCCTCTGAAGGTGCCCTTGATGATGAAGCTGTAGTCATAAGTACAGCCTTGCCCTGGGTCCTGAAAGACATTCTAGCAAACCCCAAGGGCCATGCGAACCCCCAGGCCTGTAGCCAGCGGGCCCAAGACCACCCTGCTGGCACAAGAGGCGAGGACAGACTTGAGGTGGCGCTGCCCTGACCCTGCGTGCAGCGTGCAGTGCCCCCGGCCTGGGCCCTCACGTCCTGTCACTTCCGCTCAGGGTGGGCCTTGCTTTGCTGCTCCCATTTGGCTGATTTGGAAAAGGTCAGCCCAGGGAGGGAGCAAAGATCTACCCCCAACAATCCCACTGCCTGGGAAGACTCACAGGCTTTGATTTTCACGGTGCCTTACTTTACCTCTCTGCTCTGACGCTTGCGTCTGGTTTTCCCACGTTACCGGGTTCTAGCGGACACTCACACCACAAAAGTTCAGCCGGTATGCGTCGAGAATATGTCCCCTACTTCCACCTTTCCCAGAACTTCATCAGGGGTGCTTCTGTCTGTGATCTTAATCTCCTGATTTTTACCACAGAGGTGTCTGCTTGAGGTTGCCTTTCCCTCAAACCCAGCAATTAATGGATTCCACGGAACAGGTGAGCGAGGGCCACTGTCCATTAGTGATCATGGCTGCAAAGACCAAACATGCATTGCTTAAATTCTCTGAACCAGAGAGAACATTCGACTTTTCTGTTTTTACTGGGTCCCAAGGAAAGGTGATCTTGACCTAGGCTGCGCCCAGCTGAGCCACAAAGGCCTTGCCCCACCACTCAGAAATGGTCTTTTCCTGGTGCTGAGGATTCCGGCGTCCCCAGGCTTTCGTCCTCCCCACCCACTGCCGCTTTTCCGCAGCGAAATCACAGCCCCAGGCATTTCGGCGGCTGATTTTCTCAGTGGCTTTGTTCCCGGCTGGCTTCTCCGAGTCAATGAAATGCTTCACTACCCACACTTCCGATTCTGCGCCACTGGGACAGGGAAGGGTCCTGGGACCCTGGATGCTCATTCCCGGGTGACCCTTCCGGTGGTCACCTGCTGGGCATCTGCTTGCCGGGTGGCAGAGGATGCCCACGGCCCTGTTGTTGTCCTACACTCTTCTGTTGGCCCATGTTCAGTGTCTCCTCCACAGCCATCCTGTCTCCTCCCAAGCCCAGAGCTCATCCAGAGAGGAGGAGAAAACCAGACCATCGCGGAAATCTGGTTTTAACCTGGGATAAAGTTTCAAAAGTCGCCAAAGTCCCAAATGACACCCAAGCAGGCCCGCCAGGTGGGATGTGCTAGCAGGCACCGCGAACCCTTCATCACCATGGGTTTTTCTCGGTGCTGGTGGCTGCATGCGTCCCCTTGGCCGAGCTAAGGGACGTCCATCCACAGGGCTGGCACAGCGCTATTTCCAGGTGCTTTTGTGAGGGTGTTTCTCAGAGGCGCTGGCATTGGAAAGGTGAAGAAGGGCCGTGCGTGGTGTCTCACGCCTGTCATCCCAGCACTTGGGAGGCTGAGGCAGGAGGATCACTGTCAGTTCGAGGTCAGTCTAAACTACATAGCAAGATTCTGTCTCAAAAAACAAACAAACAAAGGTGAAGCAGACCCCAGCCCTGTGAGGTGTGGGTGGGCATCTAGCAAGCTGTGAGGGCCTGACTGGGACTGCAGGTGGAGGAAGGGCGTGCAGCCTCTGCACTGGGCCAGGCTGCTGCTCCCTCTGTCCTCTGCCTCAGACTCAAGCTGAGCCCCACCGTGCGCTCTCCTGGTTCCTGCCTGCAGTGGCAGATGGTGCAGCTTGGCTCCCTTTACCACGCACGAGCCACTTCCTGATTCGGACGCATCTGTTGGCCGCGGACCCTGGCACACTCCCGATCTAGATCCACCGCCCCCAACCACCACCCAAATTCCTCACACAGCTTCATCACGATGCACGCCTTCCCTCCCAGTGGCCAGCCCTGCGTCTCCCAGGGGTTTTGTTGTTGTTGTTGTTCTTTTGTTTTGTTTTATTTATAAGACAGGGTCTCATTAAGCAGCCCAGGCTGGCCTTGAATTCCCAGTGATCCTCCTGCCTCAGCCTCCTGAGTGCTGGGACTACAGGTGTGCGCCACCGTGCCAGCTTCCAGGTGCACTTTTGTCTTGCTGTTTCCTCTTTCACTCAGCCCAAGCTCTGCGCAGAGCCAGTTTCTCCCTCACGCTTTACTTCTACTTCCTCTAATACACTTGGCCATGGCTTTTTTTCAGTTCTTTGTTCAAGATGAGAAGAACCTGAGAGGCCAGAAGCCAGTAGCGTTTCGCTGGCCGAGCCCCTTTGAGAAGACTACCGGTAACACTGCCCCTGCAGGGTGTATTTTCCTACTTCTAATTGGGCCACACTCGCTCTGCAGAGCCAGTTTCTTTTCCTACCTTTAGTAAATGTAAAGCCTCACTGTCCTTTGCTTTTGTCTCTGCCAATTCTTTGTTCAGGACAGAAAAAAACATAGAAACCACCTCTAGGAGTCTCTCCAGAATCCTGGAATCTGGTAACAAAACTGCTGCAGACAATCAGATTGTGCCTTGTGTTTGTAAGTTACAGTCCTTTATTAGAGCCTACTCGTTTGTTTTTAGAGCCCTTTTTAAAATATCATATGTAAAGCAACTTTTTAAAAACAACTTCTCAGTTTCTCAGTGAGAAATTCCCACAACACCCAGATCCAAAGCGAGCTGCATCCGCAGGCCCCAGGCAGTCTTGCCGGGTTGAGCTGGCTTAGCAAGCTCATAGATGACTGGTCTATGACCCGGGCTGTGGATAAAGTCACTCACAACCTCCTCTGGGAATCAGTTAACCGAGGCCCCACCAGGGACACGTGCCTATAATCCCAGCTACTCCGGAGGCTGAGACAGGAGGATTGCAAGTCTGAGGCCAGCCTGGGCAATTTAGTAAGATACTCCCCCTGTCTCAGAGACAAAAAAATGTAAGTGCACAAATATGTTTTTTGGTTTTTTTTACATGTCAACAAATGTTCCTTAGAACCAACATTCATGGTCTCAGGTTTCGAGCTGACCATCTGAACAGCTGCAGAAGACCGCAAATCTGAGGAGGCTATCAGGAGCGTTTGCCAGAAGGGTGAGCAAGGCTGCGCCCTGGGGTTTGGAGGGGTGGGTGAGCCAACCCCGCACGCCAGGCAGTGTGGCTGGGAGCAGAGGTGGGTGCGGGTGAGGAAGAAGGGGTGGCCCTGCCCAGCTGAGGCCCGCACAGGGGAACGCTGCGAGGGACCGCAGGGGCCCGGGCACATCCTGCCTGGATCCCGGGCGCAGCACGAGGGGGGCTTTGCCCAGCTCTCCGGGGCCATCTTCAGAGAAGCGGCCACCGCAGAGCGAGGACCCTTCGCGGAGCTGGCAGCTGCCCGGCCGCAGCCCCGGCTCCGTCCTGCAGAGCTGGAGACCCTCGTGCTGGCCGCACAGCTCCAGGGACACAGCCTGCGACCGTCTCCCTCCCCAGCACCTCGAATTTTCTGCATTCCAGGGTGGGAGCCAGCTCTGCCCCAGCTGCCTGGGAGGAGGGAGCCGCATTCCAAACAAGCCGAGCGTGCGAGGAGGAGCGGGGAAGGGACGGGGACCGAGGGAGGGAGGGAAGCGGCCCGGACTCCCACCCCGGCTCCCACCCCGGCTCCCGGCCCACCTGCAGCAGGCCCTCCTCCTCCCTCTCCACGGCCCCTTGGTCCCCCTTCCTCCCTCCAGCTGCCTCCCTCGCGTCTCCTTTCCCATCCTGTCTCCACCTTCGCTCTTGGGTCCCCTTTTGGCTCTACTAGGTTTTGCTAAAGAAAATGTCCTGAGATAGGAGAAAAGAAATAAAGATGGTGAAGAAGGGAAACGAGGGAAAACTGCAGCCTCAGGACACAAAACGTTAAGCCTTTTTCCCTTTCTGGGAAACTCAGTAAAAACAACAACAACAACACAAAACAAAACAAAAAAAAAACCCTAAGGGTCTTAAGGACACAATAAACCTGTGAATTGGGCTCCGGGCCCTTGCTTTTCACCTGTAAATTACACTTCCCCCCTTGGATTCCACGCTCCAGGAAACAGCCGCATTCGCCAGCTGCCAATCTCAACTTCAAACACATGGAAATGGCGCACATTCTAACTTAGCACCCTGGATGGGGCGCTCCACAGTCAGCGGGAGCACACAGCCCCGAGCTCCTGCCTGGAGGACACCCCAAGCCCACAACTGTATCCCGCTCTACACCATAAGACCCCTCTGACCCCACTCTGTTTGAATTTCTGCCTAACTGATCCCCTTGTGCCTCTTACTGGCCCATCCCAGTTTTTTTCTGTGACAACTCAATGAAAAAAAAAAAAAAGAATCAATGAACCTGCAGTTTAATTTATGAGTGCGGTAGGTTTAGGAAGCTCCCAGGACCCTGTTTGTGACAGTGGCACACACTTGAAATCCCAGCTGCCAGGAGGTTGAGGTGTGAGGGTCACTTTGATATAGGGGGAGTAAAAGTAAGTCCCAACCTGGGAGAAGTCAGATGTGCCGAGTTCCTGTGCCCCAAATCAAAGAATGAATTCTAAGGAACAATGGAGGTTAAGTACAAGTAGGAAAAACTTAGAGAGAGAGAGAGAGAGAAAGAGAGAGAGAGAGAGAGCGCTCCTGAGAGACAGGAGCAGGGGACCCAAGTGGGCCCCCCACCATCCCACCTCTGGGGGAAGTTTAATAGAGTGAAACCACAGGTGGGTCAAAACTATGACCAACCAGTAAGATCACAAGTTCAGCTGCTTGGTGATACTGATCCAGTGGGGAATCGGGTCCCTCGGCAAGGTGCATGGAAAAGACAGGCAAGGATGGGTCGGGAGGCCCTGGTCTCCCACCTGGGAGACTGGTGTCTGTCTAGATTTCACTGGACCAGGCGATACCAGTTATGCTATCCCGGGGGAGGCCTGTAGGCCTGGTCATTCCATCCCCATCTCCAGGCCCGGCCAATTGTAAGGACTCCGCAGTGACTCCCTCAAGGGACAAATATAGAAGCCAAATGATCACACCAGTCATACACACTCTTAGACCACCGACCGATATTGTGGGCGGGGTAAGTTTGCGGATTGGTCCGTATTTTTGACGCTTCTGCCTTGGAACAGTGCAAATCCCAGCATGCATCTCTATGGGGGGGTGTCCAGGCCACAGACAGGTTCCACAGCACCAATGAGTGCCACTGGGGGTTTCCCATCTTCTTCTAGGGTGATTAAACCACCTGTAGCAGCCAGTCTTGAACCTGGGAAGTTATGGCGTTTGTGCACTGAGGGGTGTCTGTCTCAAGTATTTGGTAGAGTTAGGCCAATGAGGAGTGATTTCTTTGTCCCCAGCATAAGGAGGCCTATCAACTAAGTGCCCTACAGTTCGGGTTAACCGAATGTAACATCCCACAGCTGAAAGTAGCCATTCTTGATGTCTGTGGTTGTTGGCTGTCATGATGAGACCCTTACTCTTACTTCCTGGGGGTTCTGCTAGAGTCTGTAGAGAGGCTCCAGCGACAGTCTTAGGAAAGATTCCGGGACGTGCAGGACCCTTAAGTGTGCAGTTTATGGGCATCAGTCACCTCGTGACGGTGGGCCGACCTCCTTCACGTCTCACCGCTGTAGCCTCGCAGCCTATTCAGCAGTTGTCCCTTGAAGGGGCGACGCCCACCGAGCAAGGCCTGATGTACTTGACGGGCGCAGGCCATACATCCAGCAAGATGTCCGTTGTGATGACTCTGAATATTCCTGTGCCACGCTAGAAAGGAACTGGACTCTCCTTTAAGTGGTAAAGAAATTAGTAAGAAGGCCAAGCATAGCACCTTATTTTATTTATCTGAAGGCTTGGCCATTTTCCGTGAAGGAACTGCACTCACAGAAGACAGTCAAATCAGGATCGGTGAGGGGTGTTTCTAACACGTCTTCTCTGACTGCTTATGTATAGGGAATTACCTGCTTGCAGTCACATCTTTCAGCCTCAGTTTCCTCCTTTTTCCTGGTAGAAAGGTGGCAGGGATTAAGGAACAATATGTCCTCTTTTTTTTTTTTGGTATCTGAGAATTGAACTCAGGACCTTGTGCTTGTGAGGCAGGTGGCAGAACCACTGTGCTAAATCCCTGGCCCCAAGCAATATGTCTTTACTTGCACGGTTTAGTCCTTCTGGAAGTAGAGCTTGGTATTTAAGGAGTCAGTTGTCTGACAACCATAGGCTTCCTGCCCAGCGCCCATCAGACCCTCAGCTGCCTACTTGCGGGTGGAGGGTACAGTGAGAGATAACGAAAGAGAGACAAATTTGAAGTCAGTACCGCAGAGTGGGCAAAACACAAGACCTTGTCAGCTTGGCCCACTTTTATTAGCCAGTGAGGAGCGTGAGGGAGGGGCAGTGTACTCTTCATGGATCAGCGACTGCAGTAAGACTGAAGTAGGAGAATGAGGAACATTATTCTGTTAAACATCACAGAAGAAGCAAGTTAAAATCCTGCCCCATATCTGGTACTCGCTTTCTTTGTGCAGGCCTCAGCAGATGTTATCCTGCCTCAGGAGTGCTGAGATTACTGGATTATGTCCCGCCCAGCCAGAAAGCCCACAGCCTTCCACAAAAACTTCCCTGTTCCCGAAGCAAGTCAGTGCCTGCCTGGTGACTGTGGAGCCTGTAGTTTGGTCCCCACCCACCTATATATATCGAGGCTGTCCCCACACTCCCTTTGGAAGAAAGAAGTCCGTGGGCCGGGGATTCAGCTCAATGGTTCCACCTCTTGCCTTGCAAGCACAGGTCCCGAGTTTGATTCCTGGGTTCCAAAAAAAAAGAAAGAAGTCCTGCCACACTGTGAGGTGTATATACAGTGAGATCTTTGCATAAAGGCAGCTCGGATGCTTCTGGTACCTAGAAAGCATGGCAGCCAGGCACACAGCGCCGCAGCTCAAAGACACACAAGCCGTCCTTTTGCCATCTAATTCATGACTCAGATACCGCAGGGGCTGGTGAGCAGGTCCCCCGCCCTGCATAAGCACCGCCAAACCATGCCTCACCTTATATCAACACAGGGATGGAAACAGTGTCCGGTAGGAGGGCTTGGAGCTGTGGCATCTGGAAGCGCTTGTTTAAGCTTCTGGAATGCAGTTTAGGAACCAGATTCCCTGATTAAAGTATCTACCTTTGGGGCTTTTTTATAACCTGACAGAGGGATTGTGCAGTCTCGCCATACCTTGCTGTCCAAAAGCTCATAACTCCTAGGAACCCCCTTAGCTGTTTTAGAGTCTTGGGCCGTGGGAAGGAAAGTATTGTTTTAATTCTCTCTTCCCCCAGCCTTCAGTTCCCTTAGATATGATAAGGCCCAAGTATTTTACCTCAAGGCTGAAGAGTTGTGCCTTAGACTTAGAAACCTTATAACCTCTGTCTGCTAGAAAATTCAGCAGGGCATGGCTACCTTGGCTAGAGAGCTCTTCTCAGGGGGCCGGTGACAGTGTATCATCTGCTTATTACAAGACTGAGACTTGGGAATATTCAAAACGTGTCAAGTTGTGAGAAAGCACTTGTCCAAAGAGATGAGACGTCTCCGTGCCCTTGAGGAAGCACAGCCCATGTCAGCTGAGAGGCCTGGTGGTGATGATTTTCAATGGCAAAAAGAAACTGGAAATCTACAGGTAAAGAGATATTTAAATCTAACACTGACAACTGACCGGCACCTTAAGGCCCTGAGGAAGGAGAGTGTACAGGTCAGGGACCACCAGGAGTGTTGGCACAACTGCCAATCTAAGGTCCTACACTATCCTCCACTCTCCACTGGATTTTGGTTTGTTTTTTGGTTTTTGAGACAGGGTCTCACTATGCAGTTGAGACTGACCTAGAACTCACTATGTAGCCCAGGTTGGTCTCGAACTCACAGCGATCCTCCTGCCTCAGCCTCCTTGGTGCTGGGATTACAGGCGTGCGCCACCACGCACGCCCAGCTCCACTGGGCTTTGAACTCCCAGGATTGGAGTGTCCCAGGGGCTGTTACAGGTGTAAGTAAACCTTGTTCCCTTAAGTTATCAATTAGAGGCAAAGTCCCTTTTTAACTTCAAGCCTTAGAGGGTATTGCCTGGGGTGAGGAAATACAGTAGGATCTTTCAGATATATTTGCACCGGGGCAGCTCTTACCAGTCTTCCTATTCTGCCTTTAGCTGCCCACACTTCAGGATTTATTTGTCTCTACAAGCGGGAGGTAGCACACCTGACCTGGGTGCAAGGAGACCACCGTATTTAAGCAAGATAGATATCTCTCCCCAGGAGGGGAGCTGGACCTTCAGCCATGATCCAAAAGGAATGGGAGAACAAAAAGCATCCCAGTTATAACTGCAGGGTTGAGAAATATAGCGAGTTACCTGTGTTACCTCCTCTCAGGTGACTCCTCTCACTGAGGTATGACGGCTGGAAGGAAGGCCGGGGTTGAAAAGAACCAAGAGGCTCGCAACAGGCTGGTTTCTTTTCTCTCTACAGTTGCAGCAGGAAACTGCGGGGGATTTTCAGGGCCACTCAAACACAGAGAGAGGAACAAAGTGGCTTTTACTAGCCAGTGGCTCAAGAAGGGACTTCAGTCCTCTCAAGAGCCCCAAATAGAAGTTTCCTCTTCTTTCTACACCTCTTTTTTACATCTGTGAGGCTTAATTCCTTTGGCGTTTCCCTGGGAACATAGCAAGCAGGATTCACACAAAGCAGAGCTGTTGCAGGGTCTGACAGGGCTTTGAGTCCATTATGCTCCTTTGGTGACAGATTACAGAGGTTGCCATGGTTACTCAGGTGCATTCTATAAAGACTATAGTTACCCAGTTAGCCCACAGTTGCCCAAGTCCATACAGAGGGGTGGCTTCCTCCCAGTCACCATTACCCGGGCCTCCTCTGCGGAGGTGACCGTCCAGCCCTAGGGAGAAGGCAGAAAGTGCCTTGGGGCCCTTCAGTCTTGCTGGACCGACTGGTGAGAGGTCTGATCCTTGGGACCTCTGTCTCAGAGAGCAGTCTGACTTCAAGTGGTCACCTTTGCACTCAGGGCATGGCTCAGGGGACCTCTTGTCATGACAGTTTGTTGTTGTTGTTTTATTTTGGTACTGGGGATCGAACTTGGGACCTTGCACTTACAAGGCAGGCAGTAGAACCCTTGAGCTAAATCCCTGGCCTGTCCTGACAGTTTTTGATCACAGTCCCTCCTCAGGTGGCCTGGCTTTTTGTAGTGATTGCAGGTAAGTTTAGTTGTCAAGCTCCTCTTGGAGCCCCAGGAATCAGACTTACAGTCTATTCCTTTTAAGGCCACAACCAAGGCTGCCACTTTCTCTTGGTCTCTTTTTTTTCTCCCCTGGGCCTCCTCCTGGTCTGGATTATAAAATACTGAGGAAGCAATTCTCACTAAAGTGTCAAGCAAGCTATCTGGAGCAAAAGCCATCTTTTGTAGCCTTTCCCTAATACCTGAGGCACTGGGCAATAAACTTGTCTTTAAGAATAATGTACCACGTCAGGAGCCAGGGATGTGTGTTTCATCGATGCCTCTTGCAAATGTGCTAAGAAGGTACAGGGGCTCTCATCTTTCTCTCAGTGAATAGTTGTCAACTTAAAACGATCAAAGGGCTTAGTTCTCGTCCTTCTTAGACCTTCAACAATACATGTTTGAAGGGCCAGGATGTAGCTCAGTGGTGCCGCGCCCGCCTTGCAAATGCGAGGTCCCGAGGTCGACCCTGGTACCACAGGGGGAAAAAAAGAACACAGTCTGAAGATGTCTCGTGTTCCAGTCTCCCGTGCGGTTGGTCAATCAGTGAGGATCTTCTGCAGGGACTGCTTGGGCTCCAGTAGGACCTGCCTTTTCCTGACTGCCTGTCTTTTGGCCTTTTAAGAATAGCGATATGATATTCATCTCCAAATGGAACAGCAGCTTGTCACGGCGCTTGCCTCGCATTGGAAGTCAATGCTTGATTTCAGAGTAACATTACATCGTTCCAGTCTCGTTCGTAGGTCTGAGTCAGACCCAAAATACCTCGAGGTACTTGTCAGAGTCATCTGAAAACTTGCCTGGATCTTGTTTGATCTGTTTGAGGTCACTGAGGGGAATGGATATGGGTTAGGGCCAAATTCTCCACCTAGCCCCTGTAAGGGACCCTGTCTTTAAGGGACTTGAGCAAAATCAGATAGGGATGGATAATGCCCAGTAGAGACTTTAACTAGGTTGGCTTTGAACACTCACCCTGACAGTCTGAAGGGCAAGGGAGGGGAGCCTCGGGCTCAATGGTAGTGGATGAGGTTTTGATCAAGGTTGCCTTGGAAACCTCATCCTTAGGATCCAAAGGACAAAGAAGGGGAACCTCGAGCTCAGTAACAGTAGATGCATCTGATTGTGCCTTAAGGACCAGAGGTGTCTTTCTTGTGGCTTACATTTACATTTTGAACACAAGTAAGGATTGCCTCTTTTTTTAGGATTATCTTTTAATACAAAGAAAGTCTGAACATAAGATAATTCTGACCGTTTTCCCTCTCTCCCAGTACAGTTCTAGATGTGAAATAGTATCATACTATCATACTGTGTGAAGTAGTATCATATCCTCTAGAGGGTAGGCAGGCCATGCACAGGTGCAGAAAAATATTTTTTAAAACTCTGAGTATGTGAGAGCTGAACAATTTCCAGTGCTTAAGAATATACACTGCAAATGTGGAAGATTTTCAACACTGAGTTTCCCATCTGCAAAACAAGGGGCAAATAGATATCCCTCTTCATCCTTACTTGGTTTCTATATTCTGTCAAGGCATCCCCTGAGGAGACCTGCTCCAAAGCAGGTGGCTGCTATCTGGAGAGTGACCAGAAGATAGGTTGCGTTGGACTAGCCCACCCTTACCAACACGTGCCTCTACCTCCTTCAGAAACCCACACTTCTAACTCCAGCATATGTTTCCAAAAACAAAAGCTACAATTGATTCCAGCTGTAACAGTTGTGTTTAAATAAGGAAGAACTGCTAGCAAAATTAAACCACTAATCAAGAGATCTGAAGAGCTGCTTTCCAATTCTTTGTAAGAGAGGGAGGGGAAGGGCCAGGAATTTAGCTCAGTGTTGCCACTGCCTGCCTCACAAATGCAAGGTCCTGAGTTCAAACCCCAATCCCAGAGAGAGAGAGAGAATCAAAGAGCAAATTGGAAATGGTTGGAGCACTTCCCAGCTTGCAAAAAAGATCACCTCAGCCAGGCATGGTGGCGCACACCTGGCATCCCAGCACTCGGAGGCTGAGGCAGGAGGATCGCTGTGAGTTCAAGACCCGCCTGGGCTACATAGTGAGCTCCAGGTCAGTCTCAACTACATAGTGAGACCCTGTCTCAAAAAACCAAAAAAAAGATCACCTCCAGAGTCAGATAGAGGCAAGTAATGACTAAGAAAAATCCTGCCCTGGGCCCTAGAGCAAACAAATCCCCAAGACATTCATGATGTCTACCGAATCACCTAAACAATCTTCCTTACCAGCCAGACAAGGATAAATTTTGCTCAATTTTTCTATGTCTCTATATCTGCAAAACACTTATGAAACTCACAGATTAAAACTTATTTGTTCAGCAACCACAACTTACACATTAGCAAAAATACTTTCCTCCCCTATACACATAAATCATGAGAATCAGGCCTAGGAGGGAGAGAGAGCCAAAAGGTTGGGGATTCTCCCTTAAACTGAATGTTTTGGTCCCTTAAATATTGTGCTTTAGGAAATAGCTCCTCCTCGTCTCACCCAGAAGAGTCATTTCTTTCCATGCCATCTCAGGTTCAATTTCCCACACCCAGGAGACTACGCCTAGATCACTAAGTGGGGACATTGCTTTTATGTGTGGGCTGGGGACTTAGGTAGGTCCCAGTCTCAAGGTTGATGTGACTTCCTTTAGGAAGGTGGCATGTTTCCCAGCTGTGTGGGGAAAAATTATCACAGTACTCCTAAGGTAAGATTACATGTGCTAAGACCAATGCAAAAAAAAAAGAAAAAAAAAATTCAGGAATCCAGGTACCAGGAAGGACTTAATGCCCATTAACTTGTTCTCCTTGTGAGGATTAACTTGTTCCTTGTTTTTTATTGCCCCATTCTTAATGCAGTTGCTGTTCCAGGAAAAGTACCCCTCCCCTTGCATTTCTTGTTGATAATAAAAGTGTGTCAATCACAGAGATTGTCAAGCTTGTCCACTAGAGGCAGGCTCCTCCCAGTCCCTCTAAACTTTAAATATTATCTCTGTCTCTCTTTATTCCCCATTGTCCCCCTACAGGTATTGAAGGTCTGATCAACTCCCAGAAGACAGGCAAATTTTTAATGTCTCATCTGACCCAGAGATGTAGTATGTGTTTCTCATCTAGGATGACTTCTCTGTCTTCAGCATTAACAAACACTCATTTTCTATGAGCTCAACTTGAAAGTTCTTAGTTGTTGGATAGGAGGGAAAGATTGACACAGTTCTTGGTTCCTCCTTCTCTAATCTTTAGCAGAAAGATGCTTCCAAAAAAGGAAAGTACAAAGTGATAGGAAAAGATCAGAAATGAGATCAGAAAAAGAAAGTATTTCTTCTCAGGCTCAGTAACTCATGGTGAGTTATTGAGACAATTTGTGCATAAGTCATCAACTTTCAGCCTGGAAACAGTGGAAAATCTGAAGAGCTAAGATTCTTCTTCACCAACAGAAGCTCAAACCTGAAAGGGAACTGAAGCAAAACAGGTTTGACATTCCCCTTTAGAGTGCAGAGGAGGAAACAGGTCAGACTGTTCCAATGAAAACTGTCCTTCAAGTCAAAGAAGATGGAGTAGGGTCTGGGAAGGGGCAGAGGCCAAAGCAGGTATGTGAATGAGCACCCCAGAGGCACCCACACGACCTCTCAAGAGCTTCTGTAGGAAGCATGCATCAGAATCATCCTGGGAAGAATCATCCAGGGGAGTCGGGGTATCTGTGCCCAAAATCCAGTCACAAGGGTTCCCTAGGGTCCACGACCTACCCTCTTATGGGTGGTGCTTCAGGGACCAGAGAAAGCCTTCAAGCATACTTTCAGGGGCTTGCAAGAGAAGCTGTTACCAGGTTCTGGGGCTCTCAGTGTTATGGGGAGCTCCTCCTAAAAGTGGCTCACAGAATAAACATTCCCAGGATCAGAGTTACTCACCTGTCCTTCTGGAGTTAGATTTCAGGTTCTTCTCGTCTTGAACAAAGACTAGAACAAAATGAGCAAAAAGCAGTAGAAAAGTTTATTTGAAAAAGTAAAGAGTAAAAGGGAAACTAGTTCTTTTTTTTTTTGGTACTGGAGATTGAACTTGGGTCCTTGTGCTTGCAAGGCAGGCAGCGGAACCGCTGAGCTAAATTCCTGGCCCTGAAAGAGAAACTAGTTCTGCAGAGAGAGCTCGGGATAAGGAAAAAGCAAGACAAAAGTGCACCCTGGAGAACACAGGGCAGGCTAACCTGAGGAAAGCCATGATGGCAAGTGCTTCTTGGCACCTGTGTCATTTTATGCTGTCCAACTCTCAAGGAACCTGCAAGAACTCCTACATGCAGTCCTGAGAGGCAGTGCTGAGACCCCACGGCTCCGGCTGACTTCCGGTGTGGGCGTCCTACTGAGAACCTGCTCTCGTTCTCCTGGGAAGTCCACATTCGGGGCCTTGGGAGCCGTTCTGCACCTCTGTTCAGGTGTGATTAACAGGTCATACCCAGTTCTCCAGCCAGTTTTGCCACACCCAGGTCTCCTATCCCATGAGGACTCCTCCTAGAAATTCCTTCTAGGTTCTTCTTGTCCCGAACAAGGAATTGGACAAAAGAAGCACAAAGGCAGTGAGGTTTTATATTTATTAAAGGTAAGAAAAGGAACCTGCTCTGCAGAGTGAGGGCCAATGAACAGCAGGAAAAGAAGTGCACTTGCAGAGCGAGAGCCAACCACTGGGAAAGAGAAAACTCAGTGGCCAAGGTGGGGTTGATGGCCGCCATCTTTTGTATCTCCTGCTCCTCAGGCTGACATCCGGTCTAGGCTGTCCTATCAGAAACCTGCTCGAGTTCTTTTTTTTCTTTCTTTCTTTGCTTTTTTTCCAGGCACCAGGAATTGAACTGACCTTGCACTTACCAGACAGGCACGGCACCACTGAACTACATCCCTAGCCTGCCTGAGTTCTCGCAAGAAGAAATGAAGATTTTCGGTCCGATTGGTCCCAGGTACAGGGTTTGGGCGCACGTCTCCTGGATCTCTGAGACTGACGGGTCGCACCCACTTGTCCAGCCAGTTTGCCACAGCCTAATGTCCTGCCTCAGAGTCATCTGAACAGCCACTGCCCAGAGGACGTGCAGACTGTGCAGATGGCAGTGACTACAATGCTCACAGTCCTACTAGATTCGGAATGCCTCAAATCTGCCTGCTCTTAGGGTGGTCCTGACTCAGTTTCTGTACTCCCACTGTCCCGCCCTGCTTTCTGCCTTCCCCTCAGTGTCTCCCCTGGATCCCACTTCAACCCTAAAAAAAAAAAAACAAAACAAAAACAACAACAACAACAACAAAAAAATCATTCCCTGTTCCCTCTCCCCCTCATTTTACTAAAAAGAACAGCCTGGGCTTCCCTGGATTGACTTAGCTGTCCCTGACCTCTGCCCACAGCCCTCCTGACACCTGGTTAGAGGGGACCCTGCCACATTTAAAACCTCCAGAAGTAGGGGACGTCCATTTTCTCTAAGGGGAGACTTGTGGGACATGGCTATGGTGGGAAAACTTATTGCAGAACTAATTTGTGTCTTGTTTTTCCTCACCTAGTCACCTCCCTCTTCCTCTGCACACCACCCACCTCCAGGCCCGAGAAAGCGCTTTGGACTCCCTCTGCCCCAGGAAGCCTAAACTCAGAGGTGCTTGCTTGCTGGGGGCTAAAGCTCCTGGAGAGGACTGGGGTGTGAAGGCTACGTTGGAGTGCTGGCGTGTGCTGGGCTGTGTCTGAGAAGCCCAGGGCCTCTGAGGGCAGCCAGGGAGGAAGAGCCCCCTGCCCTGGACAGCCACTGAGGTGGGTGAGTCCCTTGAGTGCCTGAGATCCTCCCCAGCTCCACAGCCTGTGCGCACCTTGAAGACTAGCAAGGCCTCAGAGGACTGCAGATACCCAGGGTACCTCAGGAAGTTGGGCCTGGAGGCTACAATATCCCTGTGCCCAGCACGTGGGCACACAGAGGATCCTGCGCTTTGGGAGACCTGCAGCCTCCATGAGCTCACAGACTCCAAGTGGGCTGGCGTGCAAAAGAGCTCCTGGGAGATCCTGGACCAGTCGGCCACCCTGAGGATGGAAGGGCGGGTGCTGGGACGGCCCAGGGCACAGGGAGCTGCATGCCCTTCTCACCTCAGGCCTGTGGACAAAGCCGCTTTGTTCTGTATTCCATTTCACGCAGCCTTTTCACGGAGGTCCAGTTTGACATCATGATCAGCGGGCAGAATTTATAGAAGTTTTGTACATTTGCTCCTTAATTTTTCCCTCAGCCCTGGAGCCTGAACCCAGGGCACTGAGCTAGTGCTCCCTAGTCCTCCTCCTCTTTTCTCTTCTTTTTTCTCTTCCTTCATTTCTTTCCTCCTTTCTTTTTAAATTTTGAGACAGGGTCCCACTAAGCCATTAAGTTGCCCAAACTGGGCTCAACCTTGTGATCCTCCTTCCTCAGCCTCCCAGACTGTGCAATAATAATGCATGCACCATATCTGGCTTCTCTTTGTTCTTATGAAGCTTCTCATGGCTTCCTGGGAGCCCCCCTTCATGACTCCCTCTAAATCTTAATCACTCCCCAAAGATCCCACCTCTAGTGCCATTAACATAGGGTTTGAATGCGTCCCCCACATGTGTGTTAGACATCTAACTCCTAAAGTCCTACATTAATACTGGAGGTGGGCCTTTCTGGCTAGCTTGCCTGAGTTCACTGAGAGATGCCTTGCACCTGAAGGCTCTCAACCTTCCCAGCTTCCAGAATTTAAGAAATAAATTCCTTTTAAAAATAAATTAGCCAGCTTGTGATATTTAGTGACAGCAACAGAAAATGGACTAAGACCCCTTTGTATATTCTGTTTTGTTGAGACGGGGTCTTGCTATGCAGTTCAGGCTGGCCATGAACTCACTACGTAGCCCAGGTTGACCTCGAACTCTCAGCGATCCTCCCGACTGAGCCTTCCAAGTGCTGGGGGTTACCGGTGTGCACCACCATGCCCAGCCCACTGTATACCCCACACAGCACAACAGACAGCTTCTGGGGAGGAACTGCCAGAGGCAGGACTTGAAGGGTTTTGCTTCTTCTTTTACTCTGAACTTCTGTGCAGGAAGGCTCAGGCTTTCCAGAGATAAAATACTTTTTATTTTCTTTTTATTGAGTTTATTGGCACAATCTAGGTATACAATACAGTTACATTCATCATTGGGATTCTGTACCTTTACATAATAGGTCTTGATTCTCATTTTTCCCCTTGTCCCTGCCCTCCCTTCACTCCCTCCTCCCCTCCCCATTTACAAACACTTTATTTCCATTTTTTCAGTTTCTCATATTTTTTTCCTCTCCCTTATTACCTTTCACCCACCCTTCCCACTTTCCCTACACCTTTAGCCCTTTACTGCCTATTTCACATTATTATCTCATTAGGATCCTGTGTACTATTATAGTTTTTCACACCAGAGAAACTATTCAGTATTTCAGTTAAAGAAATCTCTGTATGAACATTAAAAGTAGGGAATCCTAAAATAAAACTAAAAAGGAAAGTAAAAGAGAAAAGACAATGATGTAACATACAAATAATCCTTAATTCTGGAGATGAAAATGGTCCCTGAACATATTTAAATTTCTTCTCGCTCTTATAGTCTTATCTTATTCTTTTTTTCATTATTTAGAGAATACTTTATTAGTTTCTGTAATCAAACCCACGTAGATGTGTCCTTACATATAAAATACTTTTTTTATTAAATATGAATACAAAAGAATACTAGTAACAGAAACAAAGAATGGCTACATAAGTTTTTAAACCTAAGGCCAATCCATCTAAATCAACTCAAGCTACCATGGAGATTGATTTTGTGAGAAAAACCAAGAGACCACGGTTCCGCAACCTGCCAACCCCAGGTGTGACCTTTTATCCACGATAATGAAGGAAACGTAAAGACGACCCCGTGAGATGCAACGTGGGAGGGAAGCAACAAGGCATTTGGCCTGAGAGAAATGCAAGAGTGAGTTAAGTGCGGACAAGTTCGATGCCTGCAAACCGTCTCTGTTGGCAAGGACCAGCGTGAAGCCCCGGCACTGAAGGGCCCTGACGTTCCACGTTGCTGGCCCTGGAGGGGATGGCTCAGCTCCACAGAGCAGATCCTGCGGTCACTCTGTCGCATCCCACCCGTCCTGGGGCTGGGGACCGGGCCTCCTGCTCTCCGCTGAGCCACCTGCCAGCACGGGCTCCCCTTGATGCTGCCTGTGGCTGCCCTGCAGCAGGGCCGGCCAGAGCCTTCTGGAAGCTTCCCTCCGACTTCCAGAAGCTTCCTTCACACTTCCAGCACCTTGTGGGGACAACCAGGCTCTGCTGCGGCTTGCGGAGTGCTGGGCTGGCTCAGCTCCCAGCAGATGCCCAGGGGCCAGGAGGTGGCACCTGGGGTGGAAATAAGATCAGCGTCACCTCCACCCACCCAGCTGCCGATGCGAGTGTGCCAAACAATCTGTGGCTCCTCTTAATCTCCCTTGGGATTACAATCCGTCCCTTCCTCCAGGCAGGTGAGGCCGCTGGAGCAACAGCGTCTAGGAAACATGGTGGCCGTGGGAATATGCAAGAAAGCCCCACACCTGTCGGTCAGGGCCCCCTGGTTGGTGTAAACATCCCAGGCCTTGGGGCTCACTTACAGAGCTGCTGTTCCTAGTCCAGAGTCCAGCTAGAGCTTTCCGAGGGGTCAACAAACTGGGCTGTGTGCTAGTGAGCTTCCTGTCACTCTAACAAAATACCTGAGATAATTAACTCCTAGGGGGACAGTGACTTCCGCCCCATTGCTTCGGGCCTGAGGTGAGACAGCGCCTCACACCGGGAGCACGAGGAGGCAGAGCAAGCCCACCGTGCCACAGCCAAGGGGCAAGGACAAAAAGGGCCCAGGGTCCCACTGCCCCTCTGAGGCCCAGAACTTCCCACCAGGCCCCACCTCTGCAGGGTCCCATCACCTTGGGGAGACACTTCTCCCAACAGTGGCACCGCCTGTCAGCCAGGGTTCTCCAGAGAGACCCCATGGAGGCTGGAGGAGGGGAGGAAAAGAAGAGGAAGAGGAAACTTTTACCACCAAGTCCACGATCGGCCATGGCCAAGCCAGGGACACAGGAGGTCAGTGGTGGACGCTGAGCAGGGGGAGCTGGCGGTGCACATCTCAGTCCAAGGGCAGGAAAAGGAGAGGCCAGGTGTTCCGGCCCCGCAGGAAGTCAGAAGAGGCCAAAGGTCGCTCCTTCCTTTGCTGTTTCTTTCCCTCCAGGGCCCAACAGGTGAGAGGGTGTAGATGCTCCCTGGGAAGGGCGATCTGCTTCCCTCCACCCAGGTTCAAATGCGGATCTCATCCAGAAACATCCTCAGAGCCACACCCGGGAGGTCTCTCAGGGCTGCGACTGAACCCGCACGCGTGCCAGGCCAGCACTTTGCCTGAGCCACGCCGGAGAGTCCCACCGTCCGCTCCACTTCAGGCTCAGCGGGAGTGAAAGCGGACACAGACACCAGGCCCAGGCCCAGCTCTCTCCTAGTTCTCCTCCTAGAGGCTGCCGCATGGTCCCCAGGCAGGGCGGGGTGACCTCGTGTCCCCAGGGGCTCCACGCCAGGGGCTGCTCACAGGCCCCAGTGAACGCTGTCTTAGGTCAGCAGCGACCAGAACCACACGGGGCTTCCCTCTCAGGGCTGCAGGGCTCAGGGCAAGACAGAGTCGGGCTGAATCCACAAACCCTTCTGCCGTGCTCCACCTCGCCAAGGCCCAGCCCTGCGAGCTCTCTCTACCCACAGATGTGTGCGCTGCCACCGCGTCCTCCTGCTACAACCCTTTGTCAGGGCTGGGGGAAGTTGCTCTTCACCCTGCTTCTCCTGAACACTTGGCGTATGCCATGAATCCTTTCAGGGTTTGAAGCAGGAGACCCAAGAGGCTGCTTTGCTCTGCTGGCTGCCGAATGAGGCCGAGACAGGGAGATGCGGAGGGAGAGAAGCTGACAGGGAAAAGTCAGAGCACACAGTAAAAATGTGGTGTGTGAGCAGTCGTTCCAGAAACGTGCTCGTAGTCTGAAGCACTTGTATTTCAAGACAAATTTCCCCATAAATAATGGAAACACACGATTTATTCTGTAATGCCAAATCTTCATATAAAAACGATTACAACTGTAATATAAGTAATAAAGGCATAGAAAATATAAAGAAAAATGAATTCACTTCCACTTACCTTTGAAAACCTTCACTGCTGGTGTGGGAGAGGAGAGGAGCGTTCCTGTGCAGGACCACTTCCACTGCTGCTAACGGAATCCCTGCTGTCCATTGGCTCACTTTTTCTCTTCACGCGACTTTAATAAGGCGCCTAGCCAAAGACCCTGCTTTCGCCCCCTTTTGAGGATTCTGTGGCACTGTGACATCGCGCTGTTGTAAAACAGATTCGTCACTTAAGCTGCTCATCCACAATCCTACAGTGAGAGAGAGGAAAAAACCACGGGCTCAGTTCTGATCGTGTGACGTTTGGTACTCGGCTTATTGCGAGACGTCCCTCGTTTATCGAGTTAAACTGATTAGAAATGTTTGCTCCTCTCGCAGAACACTCACAATGAAGGCTCCACTGTATTTCCAACTACCATCCTTTCACACTTACACCCAAAAGGGTCTGAGCCACGCCGGCTCTGCTGTCCCTCGCAGGCGTCTGAGCCTGATGGTTAGTGATGCCCTTACCTGGTTACTGCTGAGGGTGCAGAGAAGGGTGTCCTCTCCGTGGTGTCCCTGGCCCCTTCTCCCGCGCAGTGGACTCCCTCAGCCCCTCAGCCCAGCCCCAAGGTCGCGCTGGCAGCCGGCCCTCCGCGGCGGGGCGCTTTCTCCAGAAGTGAGCTGCAGCTTTTGTTGTCCCTTTGCCACCCTTCCTCCCCCGCTGCAGGCAGCCCCAGCGCATCCTTCCCCGCCGTCCTGGGCCCCGGGGGGTGGGGGTGGCAGA